GCATTTTTTGAATCTTATATTGCAACTATGTTAATAAAAGAATTACTACCAGGTCAAATAGTTGTAATGGACAATATTAACTTTCATAAAACAGCTAAGGTAAAAGAACTAATAAAAGCAGTTGGTTGTAGTATTTTATATTTACCAACTTATTCTCCAGATTTAAATCCCATAGAACATTATTGGTTTAAAATAAAGAATCAGATAAGAAAAATTGCTGGAATATTTAAAGATTTTACTAAATCTGTTGAGCAGGGGCTATTAATGTCTGTATCTTAATCTAATATGCTGTACGCTACGGTGCTCAGCTTCGTTTTTCCTAAAAATCCCGAGGACTTTTTTGATTTATGCAAGAAGTCTATTAATCCCCTTTACTGCCTAGGTTCAAGTGCACAAAACTTTTTCTATTAATGGGGAAAGCTCTCTAGAGATTTTAATTTTAGCTCTTCAATATTGAATGTTACAATAACCACCGCTCCTCCCTCAGGGCGATTAGCTAGATCCAGGGTGCCTGCGTGATCTTGTGCTATTTTCTTAATAATAGCCAAGCCAAGACCGCTACCTTTAGATCTAGTTGTAATGTAAGCTTCTGTTGCTTTATTAATTAAATTAGGAGGGAAACCTAGCCCATTATCGGTTACTGTAATAATTATTTGATCCTGTAATATACTAATAGAAGTAGTAATAATTCCCCGCTGCGATCTAGCCATTTGGATGGATTCTTCAGCGTTTTTTAATAAATTAACCATAATCTGATTAATTTGGGTAGTATCACAAATAAAATCTATATAAACGTCAGTAGTAGTGAAGTTATATAAAATTTTGTCATTAATTAATTTACGTGAATCAACTATATTCTTTACCAGTGCCACCAAGTCACAGTTGGTAAATATTGGAGCAGGTAACCGAGCAAAATTAACAAATTCTGAAACAATTTTCTTAATATCATTAGTATGACTGATAATCATCTGAATATACTTATTAAATTCTGTTTTATCCTCCACTTGATTGCTAAATTTTCGTAGTAATCTTTCGGAAGCAAGATGAATAGGGGTTAAAGGGTTTTTAATCTCATGCGCTACTTTTCTTGCTACATCAGACCAGGCAAGTGCACGCTGCGCTATCATTAAATCCCTTTGCTGGCGATCAATTTGTTTTACCATCCTATTAAATGCTGAAGATAAGACACTTATTTCATCTTTATTGACCTGATTTTCTGGTACCTGGATCGTTAAGTCGCCTGCTTTTATTTTCTCTGTAGCAATCACTAATTTTCTAATAGGATTTATTATTTTTTGGGCAAAAATCAAACCCCAGCTTATAGCAATTAGTAAAAGTAATAAGGCAATAAAAATAAAAACTATTGAAAATTTAATCTGCATACTGGATATATGCTTCTTAAGACGATAATATTCCTCTGCTGCCCCATTCGTTTTATCTATGTGGTCAATAATCTTATCATCAATTAGTCTACCCACTAATAAATAAATATCGTTATGATCTTTAAGTTTAATAAGCATTCTAAGCATAGTTGGATCGGTCTTTATTTCGATGATTTCTCCTGTATTAGCTCTTTGTATTAAGTAATCTGGGATATTCAAAAATGATAGGGCAAAGCTTAAATAGGTGTTAGCAATAATGGTATTAGTAGGTTTATGAAAAACTATCGCTTCTACCAAAGAACGTGCTTCCACCTCTCCATCTAAGATCTTAGTAAATAAAGCTTGATTATGTATTAAATCATAGTAATAGTACATATCGCTTAAATCATCAGCCACAGATATAGCGGTTTCTCGTAGTTGAAGTCTGTGTTCATCTATATAAGACTCCGCTACAATGATTGACTGGTCGAGGACAGCCGATATCTTATGGTCAAACCAAGCTTGAATGCCAAAATTGAAAAAATATGCAGAAAAAACAGAAACAATGATTGTAGGAATAGCCGTTACTAAACTAAAAGCGATAATAATACGATTTTGTAATTTTGAAGTTCTTCCCTGACTATCTTCTCTAGTGATGAAAGTTTGTAAAAATTTGCGAGCTACTACTATACCAAAGAGTAAAATTACTACTAGGTCTATAAGTAGAAGACCTATTACCCTACTTGGATCAGGACCAAGATAATGATCATTAATGGAAATTGAGTAATAGGTTCCCCAAACCAATATTATTGC